CTTGCTGAAGTCTTTCAGCTTGTCCACTCACCTTTGCTCCAAGGAGGAGCGCTGAATGCCATCATAGAGTTCTTCCAGGCTCTGGTTCTGACGAAGACGGCCACCTTGGGCTGCTCGGAGCTGATGAAGCAGCTGACTGCGCCCATTTACTCCTCGGGTTCAGCCGGGACACCAGCGACGTTGCACAAACAGGCCTATTACTCTGTCGCGAAGTGCGTGGCAGCCCTTTCCTCAGCCTGCCCAAAAGAAGCCCCTGCCACAGTGAACCGGTTTATCCAGGATGTAAAAAACCCCAAGTCCAGCTTTGCTGTTAAAATGCTGGCTTTGCTTTCCCTGGCAGAGATGGGGCGCAGCACGAACCTCAGTGCTCAGAGAGAGCTCAAAACCGTCATCCTGGAAGCATTCGCTTCCCCCAGCGAAGAGGTGAAATCCGCTGCCTCCTACGCGCTGGGGAACGTCAGCGTTGGGAATCTGAAGGAGTATCTTCCCTTCATGCTGAAGGAGATCGGGACTCAGCCCAAGAGACAGTACCTCCTTCTGCACTCTCTAAAAGAAGTCATCAGCTCCTCCCCAGCCGACGGCCTCAGACCTTACGTGGAGGATATTTGGGCTCTGCTTTTCAAGCACTGTGAGTGCACAGAGGAGGGGACACGCAATGTGGTGGCCGAGTGCTTGGGGAAGCTGACTGTGGTGAATCCTTCTGAGCTGCTGCCCCGGCTGAAGAAACAGCTGTCATCAGGTAATGGGAAGGGCTGTGGTGAGAGCGGGGAAACATCTCGTCTTGCTGGGAAGTCCTCTTGTAAACTGTGGGTGGGTTTAGCAGGGAGCAGAGCCGGTCTGCAGAGGTGAGAAGGAATCAGATCTCTGCAAGGGGGGATCAGAGGAGCCCTGGGTTGCACGGGGTGCAGGAGGGTATTGGGAACAGGGACTGCACATGGAGATTGTGCTGGAGCAGGGTTTAAACAAGGAGGTTGTTAAGACAAATCTTCTGTTCTTGATCTCTTCAATGTGTGTGTAATGTGACCAGGAGCAGAGTAGGTATGAGAAAGCTACAGCAACAGTTTTGTCTCTTGACCTTTCACTGTTTTTTCTTTCCATCTTCATGGCAGGCTCCCCACACGCCCGGAGCACAGTGGTAACTGCGGTCAAATTCACAATTGCAGACCAGCCTCAGCCTATCGATGCTCTCCTGAAAGGCTGCATAGGTGAGCTGGGAACGTGAGATGTCAGGCGGCGTTAGCTGCTCAGGGATTTCTCACACCTCTCTGAAATTAATCTAATCCAGTTAGGTTTTATCTGTGTTTCTCTGCTTTTGGGATTGCAGAGCAACACTGTCACATGAGTCCTTGTTAAATGCTCTGATGCCTTGCTGACAGAGTGTTTTAGGGAGCTGGAGTTCCTTCTGCTTTTAAAGTTATGATTCAAGCATCTCACAAGGATCTTGTAAAATACAACCTACGTTAGAAGAGTCTCATGTCTGGGGAGCCTACATCTCACATCTCTCGTATAGAACTGGGCCTTCTGTTTGAGATAAGTCTGAGCAGATGAGATCTGAGCAAGAAAAAAACAAAACCCAACTTCCTTGAATACCAAAGGTGCTGATCTGACTTCTGGATGAGGTAGCATCATGCAGTTTGTTTTTATGCTCAGCTGCAGGAAAGTCATGTTTTTTTCCATGTATTCCATCCCAAAAGAAGGGAGGGAAAGCAGCTCAAACGTCTCCTTTAGACTGTGCCCCTGGAGTTATTTTACCACAGGTGCTTTCATGATCAGGCTCCTTTACATACACTGTGACATATTTTTAAAGCACTGCAGCAGGACTGACTGGTGTGTTCTCATCCCGCAGGTGACTTCTTAAAAACCCTTCAGGATCCAGACCTGAATGTCCGGCGTGTGGCTTTAGCCATGTTTAATTCTGCTGCTCACAACAAACCCTCTTTAATCCGAGATTTACTAAATGCAGTTCTCCCCAGCCTGTATAACGAAACGAAGGTCAGAAGGGAGCTCATCCGGGAGGTATGTCGTTAGCTCGTGCTGGGTGCGGGACTGCAGTGACTGGGTGCATGTGAAGCTGAGGTGAAGCTGTCACCATCTGCTGTTAGGTGACAGGTGGATTTTTTTTCCTCGTTTAAGGTAGAAATGGGGCCGTTCAAGCACACGGTGGATGATGGCCTTGACGTGAGGAAGGCTGCTTTTGAATGCATGTACACGCTGCTGGAAAGCTGCCTTGACCGACTGGATATCTACGAGTTCCTGAACCACGTGGAGGACGGGCTGAAGGATCACTACGACATTCGGGTAGATGCTGTGGCTGGAGGGTGGTGGCCTCACTGGTGTTACTTGTTCTCTGGGGGCCTGGGCTTGAATTGAGCTGGTGTCACAGCAGCACAGTGTCCCTGCTGTGCCATTTCCTATTCTCTGCAGCTGCACCTGCCCTTCACCTGACATTGAAAGGCTCTGCTTTGACCATAGTGACCGTGGAGACTCAAGCCTGGTGTAGCTGGTTTTACAGGAAATGTACCAGAATCTGAAATATCGATGAATTGTCCCTTGCTCGGTGTGGCCAGCAATACTATGTTAAAAAAAATGAGCATTGTCCTTGTCAACAGGAAGCACTCTATCCTTTTCACCCCATTATTTGATTTACCTCCCCTTAGTCGTGGGTGCAGCACTGGCACAATCCCTGTGGTGAACATTTCTGTTTCTCTCAAAGGCCGTCAGCCCTTTACGGCCGCCCAGGAGCCGGGCACCACACGTGCCTGGCACCAGAACCCAGCTGGGCAACTCTTGCACGTTGGCTGCCAGCGGGTCCATTTCTAATATGACCAAAACTCTTGTGAAAACCCCTTGCACAAGTGCAAAGCAGCTCCCCCCGTGCGGGTACGGCACAGGAGAGCGACCACTCGGGCTTCAGCAGAGCAGCTCTGCACTCTGAGCCGGGGGGACGGAGGGCACAGTGAAGTAACAGCCGCTTGTTCTTCCCTCCCTTCTCCAGATGCTGACGTTCATCATGTTGGCTCGGCTGTCCACGCTCTGCCCCCACGCCGTGCTGCAGCGGCTCCGCCGGCCC